ATCCGCTGTAGGCTATAATCTGGTATATTAAATTCTCCATCAATAGGCATTGTCCCTTTTTAGATAAATTCAAACTCATTTAGTCCGCCTCCCTCTGCTGTTTTTATAAAACAATTTTAGATTTTTTAATTACTATTTTGAGTCTGTTTTGAGTGGAGGTTTTGAACTTTCCTTAACTGCTTTCAAATTGTAACACATACCAGGAAACTGAGCAGGCAGATTGAATGAGTTTTGACCATTAGTGTGATTTTTTCTTCTGTCTGTCACAAATGCTCAGCAGTAGAAACACAGTTGTAGACAATTACTCTCCATGTAAAGGATTACATCAATCTGTTATTGTCCGCTAATATGCTTCTATGTCTGATTTCTCTTGCTAAAGAAAAACAGCTCAGTATTTACTGTCCTCTACAGCTGTGACATTACAACCAAGCACCTTAGTATTTCAGATTCAAAAGGAAGTTTATGTGGCAGACTAACACAAAACAGTGCATAATTCTGTAGCGAGAGGAAAAAGAAATGCTGTATAGATTTTACATTTTTCTTTAAATGAGAATCTTAAAAGTGGGTTGTGGTTTTCTTCTCTGAAGACAAGCATATTGAATCTCTGCAGGTCCTGCAATGTTGGCTAAAACTACCAATAATGCATTTCAGAATACTTTAATGATTCCAAAGGGAAATTACTTAATGCATTTTACCTCAGGTAAAACGCATTTGTGCTTCACTCTTCCTGAGGCCTTCACAAAACCACTGTGTTTGGAATAAGGGGAGTGGTCTAAAGAGTCGGGTTTACCAGATTTATTCAGGGGTATCATAATAAAGTGGGTTGAAATATAGCCTTGCAAACCTCTTAAGGATATGTTTTTCCAAATAAATTGTGATGAAAAAAAAAAACACTCTTCCTTCCCTCCTAATAAAACAGATCCATGTCTGTGTAAAATCCTGGAAATGTTTCAGATGCATGCATACTATTGGACAGCTCCGTATATGTTTATGTTGCAATAGTGAAATAAAAAAGCCACATTATCTTTGGGGAGGAAGGAGTATGTTCATTCGTCATTCCTCTTGTGTAGGAGTTGTTGTTCTGAACCTTGCACCTTTTATCATTGCTTTTAACGTGCAGTGATTCATTAATTTTCAGCGCTCTGGGCTGTTGGAACCGGTAGCGGGAATGTGTGAGATGCCCATGTACAGTCAGCCTTTTATATGTGTAAAACTTGTCTTCCTGCAGGCTGAGTGAGGAGCAGATTGCCACAGTGTGCGAGGCTGTTCTTCAAGCTCTGGCCTATCTCCATTCACAGGGCGTCATTCACAGAGACATCAAGAGTGACTCTATCCTACTCACACTAGATGGAAGGGTATGACACATCAACGCTCCCCCACCCAACAGCTGTCTAGTTAGGATTTTTCTTCACCTTAATTTGTAATTCTGTTGGGTTTCCTCCAGGTGAAGCTGTCAGACTTCGGTTTCTGTGCCCAGATCAGTAAGGACATCCCTAAGAGGAAGTCACTAGTAGGGACACCTTATTGGATGGCTCCAGAGGTCATATCCAAATCCCCATATGGCACGGAGGTGAGGAGAAAACCACTGATAATCTCAACTATTATCCCGACCTCTGCCATCAGAGCTGTTACAGTGTTTACTTCTTTGTCCACCAGGTTGATGTATGGTCCATGGGTATCATGGTGGTGGAGATGGTGGATGGAGAGCCCCCATACTTCAGTGAAACACCTGTAGCAGCAATGAAGAGGCTCAGGGACGAGCCAGCTCCAACTGTTCGAAATGTCAGCCAGGTAGTAGAAAAAACCCCAACTCAAATGCCCTCACATGGAGATTTAGATTAATATTTTAGATAAAGCACAGTGGAAATGTACACTACCTCTACCTCTACCACTACTTCTTTTCTTCTAAATAGGGTCTTGTTCAGTATTTTTTTGTTTCTTTTGCGAGTCTTTCTAAGTATTTATTCGGACTTTAACAGCTTTTTCACTCCTTCAGTGTAGTTTCTTGACAGAAAAACATAAAGACATTAGAAGCTACTCAAACTATTTGCACACTACAATCAAGCTTTTGAAATCTTTGGTATATATGAAATGTTGATTTTTTTGTTCAGATATTCATAGTCCGTGAATTTGTGTAACAGATCAACACAAGATCATCTTTGACTGCAAAGTTTAGGAAAACATTTACATATAGAAATGTGTACATACATGTAGAAATGCGCATGTTTTACTCCCGTGCTTCCAAACAAAGTTTAGTTCAACCAATTGCCCTCAGAGGTCGCTTAATTTCTAGCTAAAGGATTACATCTAGAAAAACCAAGCGAAAATCCTGTTTGTATTTAGTCAGAACAGGGCAAACATGTGGAAGGAAATGCTCTGGTTAGATGTTTTGACTTAAAGTCTGACTAAAGGCAGTTTTGCTCCTACTTGATGTCCTAATTGCATGACTGACTTTTATTAGAACAACATTTGATCCAGCATCAAAGTAGACAGGTCACATTGATGTAATAGTAACCTGCGTTTGTAGGACCTTTAGCCATTTCTGTGTCAGTGTGTGGCTATGGATTTGTTATTTTGTGGAGACAATCTCCCAGGAAAGTGCTAAACTCTGGGTCCCCATAAAGGAAAGTGTACTTTTCAGGTCAGGGTTAGGTTTAGGAGGAGTTTAGATTAGGTTTAGGGATACGTGTCTATTAGTAATATTTAGGGTGTGTTTTTGAATGTGTGTAGGTGAGTGAATGTAATGTAAATGTAATGAAATCCCCTTTATTGTCCCACAATGGGGAAATTCACTCTCTGCGTTTAAACCATCCCCTTGAGGCACAGTGGGTTGCCATTGTGTGGCGCCCGGGGAGCAGTGTGGGGTTAAGGTTTTTGCTCAGGAATCCAGAGTGGAGGCTGTGGGGACCAAACAAGATACTTGCAACCTTCTCAGAGCAAAAGGGTACTGCTATAACCACAGAATGCAGTCACAGAAAGAAGGCATCACCCTATAGCAGCCCAATGTACTGCAGAGAGGCATGTCATTAGCAAGGCAGAGGAGTAGCAGCCACCAGGCCAGAAAGGCACATAGTCAGGTACAGGACAACGTGCCCACTCGACCAAGCCACACCATCACCTTCCCCTGCGCAGGTCAAGCCTGGAGAACCAGTTCAAGTTTAATTATTGTTCAGTTTAATTATTGAGATTTCTTTGTTACATTTTTTTTATTAAATCTCAATCAAGTCCATTTAAATTAGGTTATTTGATTTAAAAGAGTAAAAAAGTTCAAAGGGTATGAATACTTTTATACAACACTGTACAGGTGATTTATTTCTGCTACACAGAATTGCTAATCGCTAGTGTACTTGTTTCTCTATTTCATTCAGATCTCTCCAGTTCTCAAAGACTTTCTGGATCGCATGTTGACTCGTGACCCTCTGGAGCGGTCCAGCGCCACTGACTTGCTGGAGCACCCCTTCCTGCTGCAGAGCGGTTCACCTCAGTGCCTGGTCCCACTGGTGGAACAGTACCGGAAACGCATGTCTCGTTGCTGACCCGTTTGAGTTTAAATTCCCCAAACGGCCCAACTTCAGCCTTCCCTGTACTGTACAGGCCTGATGAAGAGGACAGGATCCAGCAATCCTAATGTGGTTGACAGCTCCATGGAAGCAGACCTGGGCAGCACTCTGCTGCCAGCATCATGGCGGCTAGTTTGTTTGTCAAGCGCGACGTAGTCTGGGGCATGTGAGAAGCACTTTAGAAATGAGCTAAAGGCAGCATGCAAGTCAAGTCCTCACCTCTCAACTCAATTGGCTTCCTGCAACTTTCAGCAGATTGACATGGCACAATATGGTGCATGATGCACTGACAACAGAAATCTATCTTTCACATATTCCTAACAAGTACTACTCTAAAAACCCTTTGTGGTGTTTTGAGTAGGTATTAATGCAAGCTGTGCAAAACTCATTAGGCTCCAACCACAGTAGCTCATTGTGACAGAATAAAGGTACCTCTGCACATCCTCTCTGTTGTGGAAATTGGACGACGATACACTCTTTGCATGTCCAAATGGAGGCACACCTGGCCTGATGTGAATGCTTGAAAATGTAATGGAGATGCGAAAGACAATTCTCTATATTAGCATAATAAATGGGTAAATAAAAGCCCAGCTGCTACTATTGGACCACTGGGAAAAAACAGTGCCACTCTCCTCTTTTACTCCTTTTACATATTTCATTATTTCTATAAAAAAGGTGTTGTAGGTTGTTTGTATGATGTGAAAATGGGAATAGTTAAATAATAAATTCATATGGACTCTAAACATAGACACATTAATAATGTAAATATAAATCCTTAATATTAGGGTTCTTTCCACTGCTGAGTTCAAACTGTACTTTAATTTCCTTAAATGTGAGTGTATAGGTTTGTATGTATGTGTGAAGCAGCAGGTGTGTGTTAGGCACACACCTTCCATCATTGTTGATACGACCCTCTTTGTATTGTGACAGATGTGACAAAAAATGAAAAGCCAGAAGATGTGTGCAGCGATACTGATTATGACGTGGATGTATACATGTGTGAGGGTGTGCTGGTTGTGTGTGGAGGGGGGCTGTTTTTGCATTTGTTTGCCTACACAAAGCACACAGGCCTAGCATGTAGTGCTGCAGGACACCTTCCTGCCCAGTTCAAACTTTGCACATAGTCTTTGTAATTCGACACGGATACACTTGTTTTGTGTGTTTCTATTCCTGTGTGGATCATTCATGACAAAGAGAGCAATGCGTTTAAATTTTGTATAAATCAATAAATAATGCATACAGAACTATAAATGTGATATGATTTAATTCTTTGTATATGAGAAGAAAAATGCAAATGAATGGGACAAAAATTGAAGAGGTTATACTGTTTTAATTAGACATTTAGTATGTACAGTCACAGATTTTTTAAAGCAAAATACATATTCATACATTTCTTCAAGACACAAAAGCAATAAAAACAATAAAGAAATTATACATTTTTCATATTGTAGACTGAGACGAGTAGCTTTCAAACTCACACTTCACAGCGCTGATGCTGTCAACGCTCGGCTGACTGTTGACCTGCTGGTGTGTGTTTGACAGAGGGTAGGTTTCAGAGCGAGACATTCGACCTCTTCCGTTTGAGGAGCCAGAGGAACAGTCGATCACCATCCTCATAAACTCTGGAGCAGTGAACCGACGCAGCAGTCTGGTCCCCAGGCCCATGAACCCCGGGGTATGGCTCGGGAACTTCTCCGACTCAATCTCCTCCCTGGGGAAAAGGAGTTTGTTGTGTCGGGACACTGAGCCGAGGCTTCCTCTCTTCTGTTGCCCTCTTCGGCTTAATGTTGCCCTCTCGTTAGCTTCTTCTTTTTCAGATTTGAGTTTCTCTGGGAGGGCTTTCCCAGGCTGAGCCATGCTGTTCAAAAAAGGTTTTGGTGCTGAAGCAATTTTGCTGCCTTCATTTATCAGAGCTGGGGGTTTCCCTTGACATTCAATCTTGTCTATCAGGCATCTGTCATCCTGTAGCGAGGCTCTCTTTGATTTGCTGGCTGACAGCCTCATGTCACGTACATCACCCTGATAAGACTGCTTTCTGCTGCTCAGAAGGTCCAGGTTAAACGATTTTGCCTTTCCCCAGAGAGGAAAAATCTCTTGCTTTTGCTCTGGAAGGCGAACATCTCGACTGATGTCTCTCTGGCTTTGCTCAGGAACAAAGTTCATTAATTTTGACCCCTTTAACTCTCTAATCTGGCAGTTTTGCAGCTGTTTGGCTGTGATGAGAATGCTTTGATCCTCCTCAGTTGGGCTTTTCTCTATCTGAGGAGGCAGAACCCAGCTGTTGCAGTGATTATACTCTTGAGACTGACTCCTGGGACACCTGAAGCGACTCCGCAGTCCAGTGCTTTCTCCTGTTTTTCTCTGTCCCTGAAACACATCTGGCAGTTGCTCTTCATCTGTTGATTGCTTGGAAAACCTCTCAAGAACATGCCTCGGAAGCCTATTTGGAAGGCGGCGCTCTACTTCAACAGCTTTTAACTCATCAACAGGTGGATCATCTCTGCAAACACCCTTTCTGCAAGGAAAATTCAATATCTGGACGCACTGGTTGTGCCCAAAAAAGTTGGCTATTTCTTTAGCTGAGTGTCCAGCATTGTTGGTCCTGTCTAACCCCAGCCCCAGTCTTTTGAAAGCCCTCACCAGGAACTCCAGCACCTGACTATGTCCAGAAAAGGCAGCGTACATGAGGGCACTGTTTCCCCAAGCATCAGTGACATCTGGGTCGGCACTGAACTGCACCAAAAGTTTGATGACGTCCAAGTGACCCACCTCACAGGCATGGCTCAGGGCTGTGCGGCCATCCTCATCCTGACAATTGACATTTGCCCCTTTCTCCAGCAGCAGCTGCGTGAACTTGGTTCTGGTCCCAGGGTCTTGCAGGCATACAGCATACATAAGCGGGGTGCGACTATTCTCAGTTTTTGAGTTGATGATGCGTCCATCCAAGGCATCCAGGATGAAGCGTGCGAGGTGGACTTTACCGCTGTGCATTGCATCTAGGAAGGTTTTGGTACCAGATCCCTGGCGTAGATCTTTTGGCCTCATCATCTTCCACACACTCACTTGTGGAGAAGAGTCGACAAACGGAGAAGGGACGTCTGTGATGAATTGTCCAACACCTCTTTGTGATGACAGCCAGTGCATTCGCCACAGAGTAAGAGCCAGAGTGGAGCTGCCAGTGTTTTTATACCTCTCTCTCCACATGCCCTCCCAACGTTTCCTTGGCAACAAACGTCTGAGGACCATTATGCAGTGGCAGCATCCATTCAGCCCGAGCACTCTCTGCCTGGAGAGAAATATAAGCTATTTGAACAGAATAATTGCTCAAGGAGAAAAAAAATGACCAGTGTTTTTCATGTCAGGTTTGTAAAATAAAAGGATAACTTTTTATTGTTGTCGGAGGCAAATTACTAAAATCTGTTATTTTATGTAAATAAATAAAAAATTTAAACCAGCCTGTGAAGTTTAAAAGTTAGGAAAGCAAAAATTGCCTTATCAAAAAAGTACACCAAATCATCCACTTTCTCTCTGTGGTTCACTTTAGTGTCAGATCCCTGTGTGATGTTTTTAGACTATAAGGCTCTCTTGCACTCTGAGATTTAAAGGTTTCGTAATGGCAATATTTCCTGAAGGATGTTTTCATTATTAATTTATTTATAGCACAGAGATGCAGCAATGTAGCAAGGATAAACTAGTGTGAAAACCTTCTATCCTTACAAGAAAACAAATGTGACTTACATTTCAATATTGTAAAGGACTTGCTGAAAAGATTTTTGACATCTGATGGTTTTCTTTAAAGAAATCCCTGAAAGCATCTATTAAACTTGGTTGTTGTTTAGCCTGAGACAAAACTCTTGTTGCTTTGATAATATATCTGATGTCCTTGTTTGGTGCTTTTCACACCTACTGGTATGAATGATAAAGATGTGCAAATGATGACAAAAAATTCTCTTGATTTTTGAAAACTCTTAAATAGAGTGAATTAAGTTAAATCAAATGATTTTTTTAGGCGGCTAGTCGGAGCTGTGGCTGCAAAGTTGTCGTGGCGGCAACCCTCGAACACACTGGTGGACAGCACCAGTGAGGGAAGCTATCAACCTGAAGAAGGAGTCCCATCGGGCTTTATTACCCTGTGAGACTCCAGAAGCTCGGCTGGTCACTGAGGCAAAAGCTGGTTCACGGTAAGAGTTCGGAGAGGCCATTGAGAAAGACTTCTATACAGCTATTAATGGAGCATTGCAGTACCATCACTATTTATAGTGATGGTACTGCAATTTATATAGTGGGGGTGGTGTTGCTGACCTCGACTCGGGACGTCGTGTGTCAGTGGGCTGAGTACTTTGGTGACCTCCTTAATTCCACTAACACATCTTTCATTGAGGAAGCAGAGCCTGGGGGCTCTGGGTTGGGTTCTCCCATCTCTGATGCTGAGGTCACCGACATGGTTAAAAAGCTCCTCTGTGGCAAGGCCCCAGGGGTGGATGAGATTCGCCTTGAGTACCTTAAGGCTCTGTATGTTGTGGGCATAGATATCCATAATAAAGGCTAGATGTCTCGTCCGTGCTGCTGGCCAATGGGGGTCGACGTCCGCACGTGGCGGCCATCTTGCCACAGGCAGCTCGCTGTTTCGTAACATTGTGCTTTAAAGGCGCATGTACTTAAATAACCATAACCTCCTCAATTGTCTAACTGTTTGGTTTGTTAAACAAAAGTCAGACATGTAGTTATGACACTGCACACTTATGAATAATTATAACCATGGAATTTCATATGAAAAGAACATTGAATAGAACATACAGGTGCAATAAATATACACATGCACAAGGTATTTATGTTAAATCGATATATGCTCAGTGTACTGAATGGCAACATGATATATAGATATATCTATAGATATCTATATCTATATAGATATAGATACCTATATATTTCTATATATAAATATGTATATATATATATATATATATATATATATATATATATATATATATATATATATAAATATGTATATATAAATTATGTATATATATATATATAAATATGTATATATACATATTTATATATATATATTTATATATATATACATATATATATATATATATATATATATATATATATATATATATATATATATATATATATATATATACATATATATATATATATATATATATATATATACATATATATATATATATACATATATATACATATTTATATATATATATATATAGATATATAGATATATCTATAGATATCTATATCTATATAGATATAGATACCTATATATATATATATATAAATATGTATATATATATATATAAATATGTATATATATATAAAAATATGTATATATATATAAATAAAATTATGTATATATATATAAATATGTATATATACAAATGTATATATATATATATTTTTTAATATGTATATATATATATATACATATTTATATATATACATACATATATATATATATATATACATATATATACATATTTATATATATATATATATACATATTAAAATATATATATATATATAAATTTGTATATATACATATTTATATATATATATACACTAACATAAAAACTTTGTTTATATGTTGCACTAACATATAAACACTTTTATTTGGGTGTGATTAATTATTTCACAGCCCTAATTTATTTATATTTACATACATACATACTTTTATAATATCAATATTATTGTTATAATAAAATATGAAATACTGACAAAAAAGGCTTATTGCGTGGCAACCTCTTGGTGTAGAAGCATAATCCAGGTTTCAAATTGAAGGTAACACTTTGAAGTTTCATGTAGACTATTCGGATTATATATCAGGGGTAATTACACAAAAGTTCCTATTTTTAAACCATTATAAAAGTGACATTTATTTGCTATTAAAATTGGTACAATAGTCCCCTTCACAAGTATATATAGATGAAGCATGTTGAAATCGCCACCTTAGGGTGGCCAGATGTCCGGCTTTAGGGCGGACAGTCCGGATTTTCATTGCACTGTCCGGCGTCCGGCGCTGCACCCAGCCGGACGTGTATTTGTCCTCCTTTACCCCCAGATTCCACATACTCCGTCAGCGCTCCGCCCCGCTCACGTACGGAGTACTTGTCTGTCATGTAAATCAATGAGAGCTGTTCCACATCCTCCGCTCGTCACCGCCCACGTACGTCTTCTCCGTCCTTCACCGTCAAAATACGGAGCTGAGCTATTTTTTGCTCCCCTCCGGTCCGTCCAGATCAAGACCCGCTATTGCAATCGCACCAAACAGAAAAAAGAATGTAGAGAAGACCCGGTTTGTCAAATTAAATTATAGTAAAAACAGATCGGTATCTAGAAATTAGAGCATAGTTTGTATATATTCCCAAAAACTAAGAGCAATTAATTAAATAATTGGATGCAGACTATTGGTGCTTCAACAGACCAGGAAGAAGTTGTGAGATTCTAGAGTGAATCTCACAACTTTAAAAGAAAATTCTTATTGCAGGAATGGATGAAGAGATGATGAGTTTGGAAGCAGAGAATAAACAGAGTTCATACAAACTATGTATGATCCTAGTTATCCCTGTTACAAAAATCGGCAACAGAAAGAAAATATTTGGGCAGAAACTGAACATCTGCTGGATGATGATGGGGATTTTTTTAATATGTCAGATTCAATTAAGCGTTCACAGGTTTTATACAGGAATGAGGAGCTCTAATTTAATGCTCTTTTAATGCTATTAGAAATAATTTTAATGCCATTAACAAGTATCATGTACACAAGTTATTAGTTTACATGAAATAAGGAGCTGTAAGCACAGTTCCATGACTCAAGTTTATATATATATATATATATATATATATATATATATATATATATATATATATATATATATATATATATATATATATATATATATATATATATATATATATATATATATATATATATATATATATATATATATATATATATATATATATATATATATATATATATAGATAGAGAACATGGTGAAATCATCTTTACTCTCGACAGGCTGCAGCCATGTCATGAATTCCTCTTTTCCAGCCACTTTTTGCAGTTTGCATCGTCCTATTCTCTAGCTCTTTCTCGAGCTTCTTTTCCAAACAACTGCTTTATGATCAATTGCAGCAGTTCTGCGCAAATTAATTGTGTAAAAAAAATGGTCACTTTTTAAACACCACAATGTATTAAATAAATACAAATGCTGGGAACCAATTCTTTTTTACATTTCTTTAATATTTTGTTCTATTCAGCTACACAAGCATCCTCTTTAAACTACTAAGAATTGTGCTATAAATGTGACTTTACCCGATTCTTATGTACACCTTAGTAATTTATTGATATGCCGCACAATGTCCTCCTTTTTGGTGCTATAGAAATGGCCACCCTACCCCACCTACACTACTGTGATGGTATACACATGGAAGACAGAGATTTAAAAAATGACCCAAAAAACATAGCTTGGCTAATGCCCTTTGAAAAGGAAGGTTTTATTGAGCTTCTGTGTAATGTACAAGAGAGCGTTGTCCACAAGGCCATCAAAGCGGACAGGAAGGTAGCTGTGGTCATGTACTAGCGCAGGAATGTCAGCAAACGGGGATGGAAGATCTTCTCCTGCTTACACATTATATAACCTGCAGAAACAAAAACAAAAGTGACCAACAGCAATTCACGGTGTATAAGATTGGTATATCAATATGTGATTAAATTTCAATGATACACATGCCCTTTGAAGATGAGCTGGAAAGTTGAAAATGTTTGGCACAACACCATCTTTAAGTTGTCCAAATGAAACTAATACAAACTTATAAAAGCTTTGAGTCAACAACAATCTTGTAATACTATTATGTCATAGCAAAAGTCCGGCATCTTCCTTTTAATAAACCCAGCAAATTCCTGTAACATAATGTAAGATGTGTTGACAAACCAAATCGATTGGAAATCATATGCAATTCTGCCTCTTCCACTGATGTAAAGTTGCTGGTTAATGTTAGCAGCTAGCTAAACTGTAACGTTAGCTGCTAACTTACTAACGTTAGGTCTCACTTTGCAGCTTCTTGTTATTAGCCAGCTAACATTAGGCTAATAATGAAAATACAACAACACTCAGATTATTGTTATTAGCCAACTAATAACT